GCTGGTGCGTGAAATTTTTAACTGTTTTCCAATGTTTGAACTATTTTTGCATAGACTAAAGTACAACGCAGTGAAAATCATTAATAGGCGCTCGTTCGATGGGCCGAATTGCATAAAACGCATGATCGCACCGGCTAGTCTGGTGCGCTTTGCTATTTATTTATCGTTGCTTTGCCAAATGTTTTTTTGAAGAGATTTCATTGCTTCACTTGAACCGTTCACTTCTGGTTCGTCCTTCTAATGGCCGTTACTTATCATTATCATTCCTCTAGTTATATGAATTTGTAAAACCTACCACAGGTTATGTTTGCTGAAAACTCTGGCGGGCTTGTCTTCCTTTCGCGAATTGTTTTTAATAAATACGATGGCTCGGATGATTGTGCTTTCCCCCAAGAGCAAACATCTATGTGCAGTTGCCGATACCTGTTGCTTATGAGGTGTACTTGGAAGAGGCCATTTCATTGGGCAGAAGAATATTGAGTTTTTTCGCAGTTGTGCAAGAAGCCATTACGTCGAATCACAAAAGGCAATCAGTTTTCCTCAGATAAAATGAGTGCGGTTTGAAGGGCATTTGAATTTCTCTGTTTCTTGTTTAGGTGCAGCAACAACTGCAATCGATGTATGAAATCCCGAACAGGACAATGCAGATGGCGCAGCAGATTGAGCAATTGCAGCTCCGGCTGCAGTATTTGCAGCAATGCTACATGAGTGAATGTCACGGCGGTGTGCCGCAAAACGAGCAGCAACCCGTATCCGTGATGCAGAGGGGATCCGAAGTTCAGGTATTGGCTCTTATAAGAGTTATTTTGTGCTTCCAGAATTACGGGAATCGTGTAGATACTCAATGTAAGGATTCAGTGGTACTGATGTTGCTGAAATTCTCCGATTTGCTGGAACGCAACTGCCTAAAGATCCTCGATTCCGAGCTGCGTACCGCCAGTTAGTGCCATTCACCTGTGCATGTCCGAAATCTTTTCGGAGATTTTCGAGTGATCGTTTACTTTTTCAGTAGTATCGTACACTAATATTCGTCATCCTTCTGAGCATAATATCCTGCATATCGGATTTTACTCTCTCACGTGATTACATTGATATCCTGCATGCCGTTCATCTGAGAAGAATTCGACGAAGAGACACGTCAAGCATCCCCATTTGCATTGCTTTCTCCGCTGTAGTTTGCGTGCAAAAATCTTGTCTCATTTTAATTATAAAATTATCATCTCAAGGCAGGTCAAAAAATGCTTAGACGAAATGGGGTCGCCTTGAATCAGATGTTTAAAGCGGTGATACGGGCTGAAGTAGAAAAAACAATGTCTTTATCGAATAGCTTATGTTCTCCTCCACGATGTTTTTCTGCGTGATCCCCACTAGTCCTTCATCTGCTAGAGCTCTTAGTACAGCATTGCCCGCAACTTCGTCCATTATCTTTCTTTAATCGCCCTGAATGAAAAACCTTTGCGCCGTTCAGCAGATGTAGGGAGAACTTGTGGTTCGCTATGCTGTTTACTTCGCGATCAAACATGCTTCCTCGACTACTGTTCATCAAGCAGATCTCATGATATCTTGTTAATGCAATGGACCGAGCAGATTAGACGGTATTTTTTCAGGTCTTTCTCACCATTTTTTTTAAGCAATGGAGCTTACAACTCAGCGCCAGTACGGGATATTCCATGGGTCAAGTACTAGTTGCACTCACTGACAAGAGCTCTCCAAAAGATTTTATGCCATATAAAGTTTAATAAGTTCGGTATCAGCGCCATCGTTAGCGGTTTTGAGGTTCCCGATTCAAGTAAATATTATGAACGAAAGAAAGCGGTTCCCTAATCCTTCCTTTTTTTTTTCAAAAAAAGTGAATACATGAGGAAGAAT